ACAACGTTGCCTCTTCTAACGGTTTCATTCGTGCGGATCATGATTACGCGACGTATGTAATCGCTTTTCCCGGCGGAATATTTTATCCGCTCCGGCGAGAGAGAAGGACGAGGAGGGGGAGGAAATCGTTCAATCGGACGATCAAATATTCCACAGGCAAATGGCACAGTTCCCCGCCGGTAAATTTCGAATTATTTGCAAATTGGTCCGGCGACTGTGCGCGCTCCGTCCCGCGCGGATCCGACGACTATTACGCTCCGCATTATTCCCTATTCTTGATCGCGCCCGGTTAGTCCGCGCGATTTCTGCGCGACTGAGCCGGGAACGTCGACGAGGAGACTATCCACTGCGTTTTTTACGCCTCCAAAACCATCAGGATTTATCCGTAATCGAGCTACGCCCCTTATCGCGTAATTATTTTCCTGTTTTTCCCTCGCCACACAATAGAATCCTATCTCTGGATCGTTTCTCGGCGAATAAAAAATTTCAAATCGTTCTGGAAAAATTATTTTCTGTCGCAGGGGTCAGTTACAAGCATTTTTGGTCAATAGACATACCCTCGAAATCCTAACCATTTTAGAGAAAAAAATTCAGTAGACAGACAAATTCTTCGGCGAAAAGAAAAATTTCAAATCGTTCTGGAAAAATTATTTTTTATTGCAGGGGTCAATTACAAGCATTTTTGGTCAATAGACATACCCTCGAAATCCTAACCATTTTCGAGAAAAAAATTCCTTACCGAAAATATAATTTCAGGCGAGAAATGTCACTCCAAAATGTCGTGCGTATTTTTAAAACGTCGTAACTTCTGAAAGGATTGGGGGATTTTAATGTTTAAAAAAGCAATCAACGCGTATTTTAGCGAAGAATATGTAGGAATTGTAAAAATATTGGGAAAGTTGCTCCTTGACTCCGTAAAATTAGGAAAACCCCATAAAACTGGTTCAATCTTCAAACGGCCATAACTCCTATAATAGTGAATGCATTTGATTGAAATTTTTTTCTGAAGTAGAGTTCATGCGTACCTACAAAAAAGTACTAAACAACTTTTCCGTATAGTGCCAACCAAATTGATTAAAAATCAAAAACGAATTTGAAAGAAAAATCGATAGGTGGGTGTCCAAATTTTTCGGCGAAAAGAGAAATTTTAAATCGTTCTGAAAAAATTATTTTTTATTGCAAGGGTCAATTACAATCATTTTTTGTGAATACACATATCCCCGAAATCCTATCCACTTTAGAGAAAAAAATTCAGTAGGTATTCAAATTTTTCGGTGAAAAAAAAATTCCAAATCCTTTTGGAAAAATTATTTTCAGTTACGGGGGTCCATTACAATCATTTTTGGTGAATACATATATCCTCGAAATCCTATCCACTTTAGAGAAAAAAATTCAGTAGGCAGACAAATTTTTCGACGAAAAAAAAAATTTCAAATCGTTCTGGAACAATTATATTTAAGTAGGGGAGTTACTTACAATCATTTTTGGTGAATTCACATACCCCCGAAATCCTACTCACTTTCGAGAAAAAAATTCTTTACCGAAGCTATAATGTCTGACCATAGGAATATTCTACTGAAATGTAGGATTTCAGTGTTTCAAAATGCAAATTTACGCAAAAAATAATTCTAAGAATGTTGGAAAAGGGGTGGTCAAAACACCCTGTATAATACACTACTCGAGTCGTCTCACTGGTGCTCTTCTCTTTCATTTTATATTTCACATGGGAGATTAATATAATTCCAAAAAGCTATTCAAAAATTAAAATCCTTCTATCATCGTGCGAAAAATAAATTTTCCCAGTGGCGAGAAACGTTTGAAAAACTGCACCGTAATAAGTAGTAACGGGTTGTAACAAGCAACGTAAACAGCCCCCACGGTCGAGGATGATTCCAGTTCCTTTAATCCCCCGGTGCTAAAACTCTAACTTTAAGCGAGGAATTGCTGTATCAAGAGCTCTAGGCCACTTACGCCGACGGGATCCATCGTCTCGAGCGTCTCGGCGCTCCGTCCATCGGAAACGTCGGCAAACATTTGATCGCTGGCGGCTGGCGTTCTTAATGAAAATCACCGCGTTTGTTTATCGGAGCATAAGGGCCGACGTTGCACGCGTCCGATGTCAAAGTGGAAATTCCCCCCGGTCTGGAAAATGCTCCGAACCGTTGATCACGGCGATAACGATTTGAATTGCGCGCGTGCAACGAGAAAGAATGCCACTTCCGAACGATGGTAGGGGAGAACCGTACGAACGTGTAAACACCGGTCTTTCGAATCTGTCGACCCGTTCGCGGTTCCGTGTATTTTAACGCGGTAGCGAATTCTGACTGGTCGCGCCATTTTATAATATTTCGAGTCTCAAAAATATCTCGATATCGGAGAAAAAAAGTATGCTCAATTTCAAAGGGAAACTTAATTTCATAATTTTTTTCTTTATGGAAACTATTAATACGAAGGTTCAAACACGTATGATTTAGAGATCACGAAATAATTTCTTTTTCGACGGGTAAAATAAAATTTGTGCAGGACTGAATTGGTGGTTCCCTTTCGCGAGGAATTTAACGGCGATTCTTTTCGGTTTTATTTGAGTTGTCGAGACGTAACTAGTGTATTGCAAACGGCGCTGGCGGTTTTGTAAGAAACTTTCCGACCGGACCGAAGAATTTATACCAGCGCGGCGCAAAGTCTAACTCTTTCGGCAAGTTTGTCCGACCCACAAAACTAACGCCGGGGACAAAATCGAAAATCTATACGAAAACAATGGGACTGTAATTTATAAATTATTTTCCACGGAAGTTACGAACGCGATGATTTTATAAACTCGAGGAAAATATATAATGGGTGTTTTGCAGAAGGAGGATCGTCAAAGTGTTAGAAAGTGTCTTCGAGTCTCTGGCAATCGGAAGTAGATAAATTTATCGCGTTGTTAAAAAATCCTGTTGCGCGTAATTTCTGGGAAGCGTGCGATATAAATTTCTCGAGCTCGTCGGTGAATTGCGACACCCTATAGGTGGTTAAAACCGCGACAGCGAGCTACTTTTGCGGTTACTTAATACGGGAACCGCATTGTGCACTCGTGGAGCAACTTCTGATCTGTTTCTTGTCGGACTGGTTAGCGAAATAGTATTCAAATTAAATCACGCGCCGCGTCAAGATCCCTCAGGCAAGGACAAATTTCGTGGACCGCGCCATTCGACTCTGAATTTATATTTTCAGTGTAAAATTGGTTCGTTGTATTTGCAAATGTCAACTTGGAATTTTGCAACGCGATCGATCAGCTTCGTCGTTTAAATTTGCATTGCGTAATCTTATCTGTACAGACACTGTCACGAGTGTAAATATTTACATACGACTGTGACACTCGTAACAAAATCTTATCTTCTCGATGAAAGTGTAGTCGAAATGATGACGACGCGTCTGCGAACATTAGTCAAAGTAAATACAATTTTTGTAGCACTGTGAAAGTTCGCGAAATAAATTTTTTGGTTCAATCGTGGAGAGAAATCGGGGGGAAAAAATCGACGAGCAAATGACAATGGAAGGATTTAAATTTGCTCATGGTTTTCGTATCGTTAATTAGAGAAGATGATTAGCTGGATATCCTATCGAGATACCTACTAACTTAATCGTAGGCTAGCAGCCACGATCTGATCGTGTCGTTTTTATGTTCGAATCTTCTCGTGATATCTAATGCAGCGGGATTAGCAACCAAGATAATTGCCGATACGAGTAATTAAGCGGAACGCTCAACTCCCATCAGAATATCAATAATTGCCGTGGAAACGCTGCATACGAGTTTAAACTGTTACACAAATAATATAAATAATATTAAAGTATAAATAACAATATTTCGAGCAGCGAAGGGCTAATGTTTGCGCATGCATCTGTTGAAATTGGGCTATTTTTAAAACCAAACCATTATCGAACGTCCGCTGGGCGTTCCGCGACCACGATATTCTGGATTCTTTAAAAAATATCTTATGACCCTATCCAATCGGCCAGCCACCCTTCCTATACCTCTAATCGATTTGCCTTTTCCGGGAAAGAACATCGATTCTGCCTTTTCCGCGTTCGGATAACCCGTTTCCCTCAGCCATTTTCTAAAAAGAATTTCGGACCGCCTCGTTTCCACGATGTATTTTAACTGTTCTCAATTATTAGTTGCGCTGGATCCTTCCACTATTTATTTTAAAAAGTCGGAGCTTCGTAGATGGAATGAAATGCACAAACAAAATTCGTCACCACGAATAAAAGATAATTTAACTTTCCGCGCTCGTCGCCAGAGGGCTACGGTTTTCAACTCTCTCACAAGTGCTCGACCACAGCAAGTCCCCTCCGCATATTAAAATCTCCACACTTGAATAGAGCGTTACTTTCCCAGACACACGATTTCCTGAATGCCTCGAAGAAAATAATAAACGAAGAGAAAAAATATCGCTAAATAATACTGGAGGCAATCGAACGGACAAGTCTTCAATATTAAGCTTCGAATTGCGTCGCATCGAAAGCCAAGGCGGACCAGTTTTCGACAGAATGGACCGATAGCGGATCAGGAGATCACCGGGAAGCCTCGAGGCCACCCGGGGTTACACAATCGCGTCGTCGAGATAATCGGTCGTACGTTATCTTCGGAGCTACCGAAGTAGCTCTCGATCGTCCCGGGCGGGCGTTCAACAATTAGTCGAAATTAATAATCGAGGCTACCTAGCATTCGTTATCACCGACGAACGTCGCAAGTACCAAGGCGACGTGGTAACGCGAGGCAGATTAGCATCGCTTAGCCACTGGCGATACCGATAACGACACAGTGATAAACGTTTCCGTGGAATCGTGTTCCGGGCGCCGATTGGCCTCCGTTCGCGATTAAACGAGAAGCGTTACGATCCCGCGATCGATGGGGGGAAAAAACGAGAGAATCCCTACCGACTTTTCGAAATCGTTATCGTCCGTCCGTGAAACAAGAAGATATTAGAAAGGAAACGAGCGCGGCGGCTATCGTTGGCTGGTCCCGGCTTCCGGCCGCCGGGTAAAAGTTTGCTTTTCACGGCTGCACGCTCGAGGCGCTGAAACGGACGAGAATTTTCCGTTACCACGCGATGGCCCAGCGAATTATTAAGTGCGAATTGAAACGATAAAATCGCGATCCGCGGTTTAATTGGAACCGGCCACCGGGTGCCGCCCGTTGCTTCCAGGGCTGCCGTTTCCCACAACGGGGGGGCCACACGATTCCACGGTGAACCGGAAACAACTTGTTTCAGTTATTTTTCTGCCCGGACATGGGTAACTCGCAAGACGGTCCGAGATTGTAGTTCGTAACACGTTCACTGCCTGATCGCTGTTTGCTTTTTAGATCATTGTACCTGCAAATTTATTTCCCTCGACATCTCAACTTGAAAATTAACTTTTCCAGTCCAAGTGTTAAATATCGGTGCAATTAATATTGCTTTTTGTTAGGAAGTTAACTAAGATCTCATCTATCTTGTAAGTATGGATTCTGGAGTAAAGTACTGCCTGAGGAGTGTATACGAATAGAAAGTAGCTCGAGCACTTGCGAGAAAGGCAAGAGCGTGGCCCTCTACTGGCGAGCGCGTGAACTGTCGCCACAGTGCTGAAACCAGTATTGAAACTTCTGATTTGTTCAGATATAACGACCTAACAGGATGAAAACTTGCACAGATTTCTCTGTAAGACAAAGATAAGCTTCGAAGGAACGTCAGAATACCCCCGGAGAGTTTTTTAGGTGTCGATTCTGAGAAATTTTTGATACGTTGACGCGATTATCGTTTCTTAACGAGTCGACAGCCCAACAAAATTAATCCTGAAATATTGTTGGGGATTTTGTCGGAGACGCGAGAATTACCTATAATGTGGACACCATAAAATAGTTCCTGATGAAAGTGGGAACCTGAAGGTCACAGTTTACGGAAGACATAAACACGAGAATATAAACCGAGGTCCATTCTGGGGTGACATTTTAGGGTTAATACATTGATCGTCAAAGTTTAACCACCGTTGAAATAGGGGAAGGCGTCGTGAAAGGGACGGAATCAATTTACACAAATATGGAAAGTCGTAAACTAGTACAATATTTTGTATTTTATGGCAACAACGACGCGCGTTTATTCGATAGGATGCGCCGTTTCTCTGCTGGCCGTCCACCGACGTCGAACGAATATTGCAAGATTGATTTAAGCCTAATCTATCTTTCAGGTATATCGTGGAAGCCGGTAATTGATTTTAAAAGCTCGGTTTAAAATCAATTAGCGACTCTTTCCAGATTGCGAATCTCGCGAGGATCTCGTGAGTTTGATTCAAGTTTAAATTTATCTTGCGGATTTATTGAAAGAGTCGCTACTCAATTTTAAAAGCATACCCCGGCTGGGAAATCTTTTGAGAATCTTGTAAATAGTAAGATCGGTGTGGTATTAATTGGTAGAGAACGTTATACCGAATTCTCGTTCTTAAATGGTCGAAATTCCACAGAGAACGCGTTAAAAAATACTTTCATTTAAAACGCGAAACTCCAGTCTACTCTTTCCGACTCTATGACAAACGAAAAAACAGGATTTTTCACGATTCGATTAAACAATTATGTTAATTCTCGATCTTCGTCGAGAATTACATTCGGTATTCATTTTATGGTGATTAGTGAATTATCCTATCGTACATCGAATCACGATAGAATTAATTGCATCGAATTGCCTTGCTCGAAACGCGTAATGCCCTCTTAACAAGAATTTTATTTATCGTCCAATCAAACTTATCTTAATCGGCGTCGAGGAATTAAAACGTCCCGACCGGACTTTTAAATTTGATCGAAATTTACATTTAGTATTTGTTATTACAATAATTTGTAATTCGAGCTGGCGCATATTAAACTCAGGCAGAACCAGCGTCGATTTCATTAATTAGAATCAATTGATCTCGTACGAGAGTTTCATTCAATTTCAGGTAGTATTAATTCTGCCCAATGTTACAATTATTTTGCCCAAAATTTCCATCGGAACGCTCTTAAAGATCCGCGATACGCAATAATAATGTTTACTCTATATTAATTTAACGAATCGAAGATTTCGTTCCGTTTCCGCGATATTAAAATTTCAATCAATTACGATGAATGCATAGCTGAAATTAACGGAAAATACTTAATATCGTTCACGGGGGATCAGTTAAATTAATATCGTTTAAATCTGCAATAATTAATCATTACTAAGGCAAGATTCCGACGACATTATGCATTGAATTTATAATGACTCGACAAATCGAATATTCATTCGTATCCTTTATATGTATATTTTAACAATCTCGGGATGTTTCTGAATTTTGTGAACCTGTTAAGTTGGTTTCCCTGCTCCTAATATCGTCAATAAAATTAATTAAATTATTCGTATGGTACGAACGCTTTCAATAAGTAATGTTTACAATTACGAATTTTAAACAATTTTTACAAAGAACTAGTATATCTTGCAAGCGCATACATATACAATGGCTCAAGTGAATTTTCCGTGCACCCGGTTAATAGTCAATGAATATGTATGCTCTCGTAAGACTAATATTCCTTGTAGTTTTTAAAAAACTATTAGCAAGCAAAATTACTACCAACTCGACTTGTAAAATTAAAAGTCAGCGTAATAATGAAACTTTACGAAGATTCTACTTCAAATAAATAATGATAGAGAATTTATTTTCCCAACACTAATTGTTCAGAGTCATTAAGAATTTTCGAATAATTTCTGTCGTTAAGAGTAACATCGACAAATATCAATTAATGAAAATTCACGTGCTTCGTTTGTTCCAATTTACCATGTCTCCGTCGTCTGTTATTTGTTTTCGATCGAGTAATCTTGTTTACGCTTCTACCACGAAGAAAGCGAAGTATGTTAACAGTGCATTCGTTAACCGCAATTATTCGAAAGACAGCTGGTGTACATACGATTTTATCGCACGAGACACAATGATAACATAGTTGTCCAACGATAAGTGTTCGAACAAATGTTGCCAATCAGGCGTGCAATTACCAAACCATTTTACCGATAATTACTTTTTTTTATTAGTTTCTAAGTTCCGTTCGTGTATCTCCCGGTCGGAACGCCGAGTTCGCCAAGAATTAAACGATAGAAGTTTCGAAATACCGAACTTCTCAAAATAATTGGAAGATTACTCGTTCAAAGCGACCGGTGTATATCTATATATCGAATGGTGTTCATTAACACTCAGACCCCTGTAGATTAAACATAAGCTAAATAGTCGGTTCATTTTCCAGGCGGGAGATGCTCTAAATTAAGATCCTCTGCTCCAAGTAATTAGTGGAATCGCCTGTTCGAATGAAGCAATCAATATTCTGAAAGCTATTCACACTCTATAAATCAAACATTCGGTAAGCATCCCGCGGTAATTAAATATGTAACATTCATTCCTGAAAGTTTGTTCACTTTCCCGGATACGACGTCCTACCGGTTTATCTATTCAAAACAAACAAAGGATCGACTACTCGAACGAAGTAATCAATGTTCCGCGCGCTGTTCACACCCTATAAAGTCAACGTTCCCCGAATATCCCACGGTAATTAAGTATGCAATGTTTCTTTCATCCCTGACAGTTTTCCAGATAAGAGACTCCACGGATCCGTCCGCTCGGAATACTTTGGAGGATCGCGATGCTTAAAACGTCTCGATAATAATGATCGAGATAGTCTTCCAAGGGAGACTTCCACCCCCAAATGCGTATATTATTTTATTTACAAAGATTATATCTCTGTTATTTCGTGAAACGAAATCCAACATAAAGAAATCGTGTCAAGGGCTGCAAAACGATTCTCAACTCGCGGATCAAACACTCGATAATAATTCTATGATAATGAAATTAAGTTTTTCTTCGCGGCGGGCCCGTTACGCACAGTTCACACTCCTGGTTCGCTCAAAAGCATCGCGGTGGCTGGTATAAAGTAATTAATATTCCGAAAGCTGTTCACACCTCATACACTAAACACTCGGTAAACATCGTGCTTGATAATTATGCTTGCAATACTCCTTTCGTCAACGATAGTTGGTGCTCTCTGCTGGTACCCGTCGGGGAACGTAATCCCGTAATTGTTTTAACTAGTATATTTTGAGCAGTGTAATGCAAAACTCGGGCGCGTACGTGCACGGAAAGCCTCGGCGCTTGTCGCGGCTCAAGCCAGGCGAGACAATGGCGAGGACGATAGCAAACCGAGCACGGAATCACCGTGAACTCATTGCAGCCGCGTATACGCGGAGGGAATTAACCAGAATCGTGACTCACCGATTGCTCTCGCGACGCGTTGCACGCGTTCAACAACGCCGTCTTCTCCGTGACACCATTGTCGGATGCTCGCGACTTCCGGCAGCCTCGCGGGACAGCCTTGCGCCTTCCCGGAGTCGGACGCCATTTTTATCTGGACAAATACCTCGAGCAACGAACGAAAACCAAATAAACCCGCATACGCTGCTCGCGACGTCAATATTTTTATTCGTTTACACTTTTTAACCAAATCGAATATCGATAAGCTCAATCTATCGCTCAATATACAGGGTGTTCGGCCACCTCTAGCAAAAATTTTAATGAGCGATAGTAGAGGCCAAAATAAGACGAAAATCAAGAATACTAATTTGTTGATGGAAGCTTCGTTAAAAAGTTATTAACAATTAAATTCAAAAATTTCAAATCGTTCTGGAAAAATTATTTTCGGTTGCGGGGGTCAACTACAATCATTTTTGGTGAGTACACATACCTCCGAAATCCTATCTACTTTCGAGAAAAAAAATCGAGTAGGTGCTGAAATTTTTCGGAGAAAAAAAATTTTTCAAATCGTTTTAAAAAAATTATTTTCGGTTGCGGGGATCAATTACAATCATTTTTTATCATTACACATACCTCCGAAATCGTACGCACTTTCGAGAAAAAAATTCCTTACTGAAAATCCAATTAGGTGCCTAAATTTTTCAACGGAGAAAAAAAATTGCAAATCGTTGTGGAAAAATTATTTTCGGTTGCGGGGGTCAATTACAATCAGTTTT